AACTGTAGCATCGTACTTTGAGCTCGCCTCACGGCAAATAAACTATTGTTTACATGCAGTACCTTGTTGACCGGTAGGGGGCGCCTGAGTCCCACCTGATTTAAAGAGACACATCCATACCTTCGTCTTCTGAAAGCCTCTTCAGAGGATGATCAGCCATGTGTCCTGTACAGGAAGAAGATGGGACTGAGTCAGAATGAACATGAGCTCCACTTTAAAAAAAAAAAAAGGTGCGTTTATTGAAAGTGTGTTGGAAGCAAATATTTACTGAGAGCAGGCGACTTTGAACTTTCTGAGATGTATGTAGACAAATTATAGGTGTAGCTTTGTTATAGTTCAGATCATTTACACAAGCACAAACATCTGCTAAAAACAGAAAATGGTGACCAGAAATCAGTTTTCCGCCATAGCTTTGGCGCCCCTTCTAACGCAGCACCCGTATGCATCACATACAGTGCATACCCACTTTTTGCGCCGTTGCTGATACATTTTTGAGGTGTGGTGCAGCACTAGCAGAGTTTCTCTAAATCACTTGATTTCCTAGCTTTCAAACTCTCAAACTTTTTGTACTTTTCAAGGTTAGCTCAAACTTTCTGATGTCTGAAACATCAGAAAGTGTGTGTCCTCCCTCACTCTGTGGGGCATTTTTTTAAAATGTTTGAGTCAGAAAGTTGAAACTTTAAAACAACTAGTTGTTTTTCCATCTGTTAGTCTAACATTCCCTATTCACTAAGTATAACCTGGACATGGGAGACTCAAGTCTTTTAGCAGACGCAAGCTATAGGCATTGTCTTTTCATCGTCAAACCCGATGTCGCTTGGTCTGATGTGTGTGTGACGGTGGAGTTTCACCTGCAATGCTGGAATAAATGTGATGCACACGGCTCTGCTGCCTCTCCAGCGCGTCTGCCAGCGTCTGGTTCTCCACAGAGTAGTGGTAGGCTGGTGAGAAACAAAACATGGATGTCAGCGGTTTTATAATGCAGAACGATGGTGCCCGGTTGAGAGCCCGGCATCGTCTCTCTCACCGTAGTAGAGAACTATGAACCACAGCGAGAGCAGGACCACCGTGACGCCGTTGAGACGATCAAGAGGGTTTCCTTTCTGTTTCTGGTTTGAAGAAGAAAAAAGAAAGTTGAAATCTGACTGTCAAAGACATTTTTGAATCATAACATTGTTTAAAATATCAAATGTAAGGCAAACTTTATTTCAGTTACACAAATCAATAAGTCTTTGAGCCGTTAGGAAAAATAAATATTCATTCCATTGAAACAATCCAAACAAATGGTGTTAAGGTCAAATTCATGCTCAAATTAAATGCTTAAACAAAATATACAAAGAAAGGTACAAAAAAAAAAAAAAATCTAAGAAATGTTGCCGCTACGTTTTCTGGCATCCAGTAAATAGAAATAATTTTGGTGATTCTATCTGACCTAAAGCAAGAAAGGTTTAGTCTGCTAGTGAAACAACAATGTGTCTCTTTTTACCAAGTGTGTGAAAATATACTGTAAACAATGTTTTCCAAATTTAGGCTTTGAATCAACGTTAGATTGCACTAGACTCCCCTGGATAGTCCAGAGAAGTGAGGAAAAGATGAAAGTACATCACTTTTAATATCCACCAGCCCTTTTCCAAAGAGGGGAGCGAAAGGGAGGATCCCACAAGTTTCAGTTTACTTCACAACTCTGGTATTTGCACCTGCAGACTGTGACCTTGGATGGTTCAAACCCAGTTCAGAAATACCCTTTATTACATGTTTCCAGCAAGCTGCCTCCAACATGAAGGGTGCTTTATAGCTATAAAGGTAAAATTGATTGCTTGATTGATTGATTGAAATAAAACAAAGTTTGACATAACGATGCAACACTTTAAGACTGAAAATTGCGTCTATTCTTAGCTCAGGTGCAGTCGGATTGGGTGGAGAACATCTTTGAACAGCCATTTTCAACATTTCCCAAAAAGTTCTAACACGTGGATATTCTTTGACCTAAATCACTGTGTTGTAGCTCCAGCTGTAGACCTTCACTCCAAGTCAAACCCAGTGAGCTTCAGAAAACATCACTTACCTCATGTTGGGTCCTTACAGCATTTATAGACTCATTCATTTGCTGCTGGAGCATTTTAAAGTGCTGGTCCATGTAGTCCTGTTGAATAAAGACACCCCGATTATCTTTCAGCTGATGACGCTGCTATGGGAACGATGCTGAACTCACAGTTAGCTGTCGTCGCAGGACGGCGGAGGCGTCCGAGGCCGAGCCGAGCTGCTTGCTCTCCAGGGCGCACATGTTACAGACGTAGCGCCTGGACGAGCAGCAGTAGTACCGCAGCACCTGGTCCTGGTGCTGCGGGCACTTCCTCTCCAGCAGGTCGCTGAGCGGATCTACCAGGGGGTGACCGGTGAACGCCTGCAGCTCCAGGTGGTCCTTCATGTGCTCCCTGCACAGCGACACCTCGCACTTCAGGCAGGACTTGAAGGCAGCGGTTTTTGTTTCGGGGCAGCAGTCGCAGTAGACACATTCGGCCAGCGTCTCCTGCGAGGAAGTGATCAGAACAGATACACTCAGACTATTTTAGAAATTGATTTTTCTGTCGATTATTCTGATGATTAATCGAATGAAAAATTGGAACATTGAACATTTTTCGTTTAATCTATTAACTCTATTTTACACAAGGTTAGAATCCTTAAAAAATGTTAACAAAAACACAGTTTAATTGTTTTGGGGGTTTTTTAAAGTAAGAAAATACAAATTTTATTGCTTAAAATGCAATAAAGTAGCATTGATCATATGTAGCAAGGGATGCATCTGCAGCTAAAAAAGTACTTCTAACATCAGCATGTGAAAAGCTTGGCTCTTTCTGCTTTACTAAACATCAACACAGTGTAGGACTGATCTGTTGATTCATTTTTGATTAACCAATTAATGATTGGATAGCAAAAGGTATTTAATACCTTTATTTTACAGAATTTGACTCAGTTGAAGCTAAAAGAATTCAGGACTTCAGTATAGAACAGATTTATAGACAAAAAAAGTTTTTTTTATCTTAAATTTATTTTTTTTTAAGTCTTGATACTCTAGTTAACATTATTCCTTGCTAAATTAGTTGACGATTATTCCAATAATTGATTCATTACGATTAATGTGATTAATCGTTTTGGTCCTCCTAGATACATTTTCCATAGATTAGCTCTGATTGGTAAACAGTACTGAAAAATCTACATTATTTTTATGTTTTCTATTGTTGTTTTGTTCTGTAAATGCACCATGCAAGCACTGTGTTGAACTGTTCTAGAGTTGAATAAAAATCAAAGGTTAGAGTTAGAGGCATATGTCGTATGCATGTCCGACTTCAAAGAAAGCTGTAAATTCATATTAGGCAAAAACAAAAACAAAACAAAAAACGTCTGGTCCGTGCACCTGAATTATCCAACACATACCCTCCTCTTCTTGATCAGCCTGAAGTCCTCTGCGATGCTGGCCAAGGCATAGCTCTTCTGTAGCTCTACGACCTGTCCAAAGTCCGCCCTGCAGTCCGGGCAGCGGAAAGGTGAGTCCGTGGAGTGTTCCAGCAGGTTGGTCAGACAGTCCATACACATGCTGTGTCCACAGGGCAGCTGGCGGGGATCCTTGAAGGTGTCATGACACACCGTGCACCTTAGCAGTTCCTCCCACCGGGTTTGGTCCGTATCTTCCATCCTTGACTCCTCTGCTGCTGAGCATGAGTAGAGAGTTAACTACAGAGATATTACCACCCTCCTGTGCTGTTGATTTAGTTACCACTGTATTCTGGTTGTTTAGAATAAGTTGTGAACTCGGGCGTTAAAAATGCCTCATTTCTTACCCAGGCAGCAAAGGGTGGCCACATCGGTGTTTCTTTGTTGAAGTTTAGGGTGAAAGTGAAAGCGGAGTGGAAACTCACAACTCTACTTCCTGGTGGGGCGGGGCCTATGTGACGGTCCTAGTTCAGTCCACACTTGAAATGAAGAATAGCTTTTCTGAACACAAAAAAGTAGTCCAATGATATTAACATGATATTTTAGTACGTCTTTTCTTAAAAGTTGTCATTTACGTTGAGTTTAGTCAATGAGAAATCCTACAAGCACGTTGTCTACAGGTCAGAAAGTGCGCAGATAAAAGCGTGGCTAAGGACTATACGTCATCGCGTCCGCCATATTGTGAGTGGCAGATTTTATAGACGCAGTTTTCCAAAGAAATTAGTTGCTAAAGTTTATATTGAAGAAAATTGTCATCATTTTTACATAGAATTAGCTAATTTTAGGATTAATTTTGAACGAGATCTCCTAGTCATAATAAGGCAGACCAACCTTATTATGCATTTTAAGAATGCGCTTAAAATGTACAACTAATTCTAGTTCTAATCTACAATTATTTTACAGTAACTATAATGCAACACAAATAATACAAATACTACAATAATTTAACACTATAAACACATTTACTAGTTATGAGCAAATTAATCAAAAGACAGATGTGCATTTTTAAAAAAGGTTATGTAATAATTTCCATAATGTATTATAATTAATACACACTTTAATAATTAAAACACTTTTTATCCCTTTATGTAAATAATGAGGAAATATTGGAACTGAACTAATATACCAAGTGTAATGCCAGGTAAATAAATGTATGTCCATATTTACTCATTTTCAAAGCACAAACTTTCATCTATTAGGATTTCACATTAAAAATTTCTTATACAAATAAAATACCGAAAAGTGTTGCCAGTGTTAAACTCACCTTTGATCCAAGTTTGTGGTTGCTATTTCCATCTCACCTTTATTAACCAAAAACATGTGATTCTTTTAAGTACTTTTAAAAGTAAATTAACTTTCTAACCTATATTTTTTTAATATATACTTGCTGTTCATGTCTTTAGAGTTTCTGACTTCTAAATTGGTTGAAACATCACAAATTACACTGCAGTTTAACACAATTTCATGCTTTGATGCATTTAAAGTTAAATAAATCTTTCACAAAATTCTTCTGTTTTACAAAAACAATTTATTTACCAACAGCAGTTAAAAAGCAGATGAAAAACATACTTTTGTCAATATAAAGTATACATCTTGAGAACCGTAAAAACTTTTGAAAAAGTCTTTGCAAAGCACATATAAGATTAGATTCATCGTTCATTTAGATTTAAATGTGTTTAACAATAAAAACCTATTATAAAGAAAGCTTGACAACTCATCAAGGCCATTCAGACATGAAGTTATAATCTCACGGCAACACAACCTAGAATGTTCTCTAGATTGCTAATTTTTTCTGACCTGACTAAATCCATAAATGAAATGTTTTGAAGAACATCTTGTTCTCCGTACACAGAGAGATAAATGATGCGTCAGCTGAAGAAAATTCCTGAGCATTCACCGGAGTAGTTCATATTGCAAATCCCATATTTTAACTTCTTAAACCTGCAGGTTTGACTGAATCCTTGAGCAACTTTAAAAGACAACCAACGTCTGAATGACCGTAATGAAGCAGTGGTGATGGTTCAGTCCTTCATCTCTGGCTTTAGAAACTAACCAGCCTGGCAAAAAGTTTTTTGGGGTTACGTCTATATACATTCAGTAATCTTTAAGAAAAAAAAAAAAACATAAATGTAAGGTTAAAAAAAATCAGTAAAAAGTAAATAAAAAATACACAAGTACACACATAAAGTTTAGCATCTCAGAAACTGCTTGGTCCCGTTACCCAGAAACCCTTGCTGGTGTTCTCCAGGCAGAGTTCCTCGTGCAACAACAGACAACACTGATTTCCACAGGCGCTTCCACTTCCTGCCTCAGTATTTCCTGGTTTACGCAAAACATCTAAAGTGGGAAATAAGGCGTTTTTAAAAAATCTTTACATTTACTAACTTTGTTCACAGACTAACTTCACTTTCATATCCACATGTCACCGTTTTCTCCCTTTCCCATAAATAAACTATGGACTTAAGACTTTATCTAGCAATAGGTTTTTCTTTGTGATCATTGAGATACGTGTTCATACAAACAATAAACTGTCACACACAATAGAACTATGCTATTTTCTTAAAGCTTTGCATTTGACATTATTTCTATTTACTTTGGTTCTGATCTGTTTCCGCCACTTGACTCATAAAATCTGAAAGACTATGACCGGTTAATAAAAAACAAACAAGCAAAAAAAAAAAAAAGAAAAAGTCAACAAAAATGATCACAGTTACCACCATGGTCCATATAAACAGTCATGTGGCAGATGGCTCCATTTCATACCCGAAAAAGGTCGAGGACACACAAAAAAACAAAAAAGAAAAACACAAACTATACAAGGGCGAAGTGATCAGCAGCTGGAATAACACTAGAGCTGAGGAAGTTAATGCTAATAAAAAGAAATAAAGTAAGGAAAGCAATGATATTCCCTTTCATAGGATGGTAATTAGTTTGTTGTAGAGAACAAAAACCACACATATGGCAAAAAAAAAAAAAAAAAACTCGAAATGGATCAGTTCAGTTTGTAGAAAGCAAAAGCAGGAACTAAAACAACCCGTCTAAAAACTGCAAGTGAGTCTGCACAGTGCATAGCAACCTGCTGCACCTATCCGATTGTGAGGAACCATAAGCTTAAAAAAGTTAAAAAAAAATAATAATAATAATCTGAAACTTCATCAAAGAAGGTCTTTAATCATGTGACCAAAGACAGTGACCGTTTTCAGTTGGATGTAAAATTTGGACCAACAAACAAATGCAAAGATTTTTTCTTTGAAGGAAATCAAATGAAAGTAGGCCTTGAAGTGTTGCGACACAAAACTGAAAGCAAATGTTGTAAGTTATAAGAAAGGAATGGCCATTTGGCAAAAAATGAGAATGTCAGCAAACTTTAAGAAATCTACATTCAGAAAACACAAAGACAAGCCATCAGATTCATAACAAGTCAGAACCTTTCCCACAAACAGAACCTCTTTAGCTGCCTGGTATGACTGAGAAAGCACCAATAAAAGTGGCATTGTGAAACCAAAGAAGGCCTGGAGTGGAACTTAGTGGGGACAGAGAGAAATTAGTGAAATTAGAGTCAGATATCTTATGTCTTAAAGGGTAGAAACACTCCACAGATTCTTCACAAAACCCTGTGAGCTGCTCTGTGTTGGCAATGGGCGACAAAGGATGCAACTCAAAGGTCTCGTGACGGTCGTCCCGGTGCATTTTCTCTTAAAACCGTTTGGGAGGCTGACCAATCCCGTCGCAACAAACTGCCAAGAGAGCTAATCATTACCAGAGTCAACCACTTCGACTCAATCACGACCGCACTGTCCAGCTCAGAGTCCTCTCAGAAAACACACAGACACACTCTCAAGATGTTTGAGACACTCCGTGAAAGGGTCAAAGGTTACACAAAGCTTTTTGGAATAAGTCGGTTTCAAAAAGCCAAAGTATGTTCACGTCACATCCGTGGATTTTAAACAAAGGACGGAACATTCACTGATCCAATCGTATTCGCTGGGCGTTAAGAGCTGATCTGAACTCTTCCTCGCTCCAGAGCTGAAACTCAATGACCGGACAAATCCAAGAGGAAAAACGAGTAAAAAGTAGAAAACCACATTCAGCTGTGTTCAGACAAAAATGACCCCTGGACACCAGTAATGGTGTCGCTACAGTAGAAACAAAATATCAGGAGCTGATATGGATTAGTTACAGCTTAAAGCAGAGGTCTCACACTCCAGTGTTCAAGGGCCGTGTCCTGCAACTTTTAGGTGTCTCTTTGCATTCAGCACACCTGGCTCCAAAGTTAGCTCATAAGCGGAGCTCAGCTGGACTGAATGTTAGTGACGCCATTTCACCATTGAAGTCAAGTGTGTAGGCATCTAACAGTTGCAGGACTCCAGCCCTCGAGGGATGCAGTTTGAGACCAATGGCGTAAAGTGTCCTTTCTTCTGCTTTAGAGGACGGCCGTCTCCATGAGCAGTCCAGTGTTAGCAGTCTGAGGTAGACAGTGGTGCGTAACCGCAGTCGCCTTCACAGCGACAAGCCGGCGATCTTCCTGAACGAGGGCACGAAGAAGTCGCACTGGCTCAGTTTGTGTTTCTCCATATTCCTCATGATCCGGAACGTCTTCCCGCAGGTGGTGCAGCTGAAAGGCTTCTCTCCGCTGTGAAACCGCAGGTGCGCCTTCAGGTTGTCCCGCAGCCGGAAGCTTTTGCCGCACTGCGGGCAGGCGTGCGGCCTCTCGCCCGTGTGGAACCTCAGGTGGCGACGGAGGCTCTTCCTCAGCGCGAACGTCTTGGAGCACTTTGAGCACGCGTACGGCTTCTCCCCAGTGTGGAAACGCTCGTGCCGCCGGAGGATCTTCCGGCGCTTGAAAGCCTTCCCGCAGTTGCTGCAGACGTATCCGTCACGGGAGTGCGTGACGATGTTCTGGAGGCGCCAGACGTCGTTGTCGCACCTCGTGAAGCAGCAGAGGCGATGGCCCGTGTGGGGACCTTGGTGCCGACGCAGGTCTTTGGGGATAGTCCTGCCAGATTTGTTGTTGGCGCTGAGAGTTTTCGCGGCATCGTCACCCTCAGTCTTCACCTCTGGTATTGTGAGCATGTTGACCAGCTGTACCGCGCAGGGGAGAAGCAACTTTTGATCTGGAGAGGTGAGCTTCAACTTCATCTGCAGATGGTTCTTGGAGTCTTTCGGCGAGTGGATCCGCTCCCACACTCCGACCTGTGCCGGGGTCACGGCCCCGTCGGACGGCGACGGGCTGTAGGCGGTCCCCTTGGCCGTGCTGACACAGGCTTGCTGGGGCTCAGCTTGAACGGGCTCCTCTGAACTCTCAGCTTTAGGAGCCGAAGAGTCTGGCGCAAGGATTAAGGGACAAACAAACTTCACTGACTCCCCAGAAGCGGCGTGTCTCGTATCTGGTTGAATCAGAAGAGGCTTCTGCTTAGCCGGTGATATTTGGGTAGATCCACATTGCGATGTTCCAGAACCTTCGTCTGCAGAGACTGAAATGCAGCACAGTTTCTATCATTGCTATGTTTAGTGCCAACATACACAAGTTCAAAAGCACCCTTTGACCATATTTTCTCCCTTCATGAACCACAAAAAACATTGTGAAATTAAATGGAATATAAAGCTTGGCTTCAAAATGTTTCACTAAAAATAAATGAAAAAAAGAAATAATAGTGAAATTATGTGGTATATTTCACTCTCTATCCTAACAGCCTTAAAGAAAATCAAGTGTAATCAACTGTAACTAGATTAGATATTTTCACAAATTCAACACTTTTTTCTGTTTTCTTTAATGGAGAGGAGGTCTCAAAAAAAGATTTAGGTTTAATCTTTGACTGGGACATTTTAGTACATGAATACGATTTGATCTAACCACTTCATTTGGAGCTCAGGCTGTATGTTCAGAGTTGTTCCCTTCGCCCTATCATAACATTTTTTATCACTTCCAATCAAAAAATGTAACTGATTTAAAAAAAAAAAACAACAATAAAAAAAACGAAACTATTATTATCATCCTCTTCTGTGCCTACTTAATCCATTCATGGTTATGAGATAGAACAATAAATACTTACCCAAAAATAAAAAAGGAAAAAAAACCTAATGCTTTTAAGTAAAAAAAATAAATAAATAAACCAGGTTGATTCTTAGAACAGCTGAATTTATGCTGAGATTAAGTAACATAATAGATGGACTCTCAGTGAGGGTGCAGAATGAGGAATATAAAAAAAAACTGTACCTCTGCTCCAAATGAGTTTGTGTCTTTCAATACATAACTAATAACCTGCCTTTGTCTTAAGTGATATCGCCAAATAGAAGAAGCTGAATGCAAATGACCGCCACACTTTTCAGATTATCAGTCACGTTTCACGTCACAGATAAGGACTACATTGTGCTAGCTTCTCAGACAAACTGATAAAATAATTTTGTGAAAATGATAAAGAGGAGTAACGTTCACCAATTTATCAGAAGCAATCTGATTGAAAAGCAAATTTCAAATGTGAAGTTTCCGGTGTCGTCGACAAGTAAAGTTGAGTACAGCTTTAGACTTGTACGTATTTCTACCATGAGAAATAAAGTAAAGCGACAGTACAATTACCAATTTATAAGAACATATTGCATCCCATTCTTTTACCGGTAGCTCACTGTAACTGTAGCTCACCAACATTGTGAGGAGCGTTTTTTTTGTTTTGTTTTTTTTTTACTCCATCAAGATCCTGTTATTTTTGTTTTTCAGGCTACAGCAATGTGCATCCGTTCATGTGAGAGCTTACCAGGCAAAACATCCCTTAGATGAGCATCATCATCGGTGAGAGAGTCAAGCTCAAGGCCGCTCAGCTCCAACGTATCCACAGAATCTGCTTTAATCTGGTAAAATAAGAACAGAAAAATATAGAACTTATTAGACCTAGTGTGATTTCCTGTTTAAAGGCAAAATGTTAATGAAATAATTTATTTCATTGTTATTTGTGATGCTCATTTTCTGATTGGCTTAAGGAGCTGCTTTGCATCTAAAGCAAGAAATGTTAATGGTTTAAACAAGAAAAAGACCAAAGCAACTGTCCAGCAAAAAACAGAACTGCAGGAATAAAATAAAATTTGATGTGACTAATATGAAATATTACATATTTGCTTATAATCAAAAGAGATTATTGTGATAAAAAAACAATATCTGGTAATAAAGTCACAACAAATTGTCAGATAACAAAATTTGCCGCTACAGGACTCATGGCCATCTAATATCAGATATATGAGGCAGCATTTATGCTAACGTTTTAATAATTATTACCCATTGAATGGTGGGTAAAAGAAACATTCTAAGAATTGATGTTTCTTTACATATTTTGTAGCACTGTCTGTAAATGTGCAAAAGGGCTCCACCGCCAGAGGTCAACGCTCTTTGGGGAGCCATGATAAGGAAAAGTTTGGGGACCCCTGTACTAGCTCACTTGCAAACAAGTGCAAGTACTGGTTACCTAGTTACTTGTTAACATGCCACGTTGCCTCATAGCTTCTTAAAAATAAAACAGCAAGTAGCAAGGAGTGAAAACTGTGGATAAAACAGGAGAGGTCATGTCACTACTAGTTTGGAAGTATTTCAGATATTTAAAACAAACAAAAAAACCGTAATAATTGTCGATGTCGATCGATATGAAATCTCACATCGTCCAGCTCCACTTATACGTAAGTGATTTACAGCCTGTAAGCCCCCACAGACCTGATCCTCCTGAGGTGCCCAATGAGGGTCAGTGTCTTCAGCCAGAAGGACTTCGGACGGAACCAGACCGCCCTGCACTTCCACATTGTTGGTCTCCCACAAGCAACTCGCACCAAGCAGAAGGGAAGAGTCTGGAGAGTAGAATAGGGGGAGGGGTCATGACACCGAAGGAAATGTGTTCTTTAGCGACAGAGATTACTCGGAGAACTAATCCGGTTCTGCAGGAATAACTGATGCATACAAGATAAGCAAAAATGCACCGAATGCTTTAAGCATTTAAGCAAAAAAGAAAAGTATTCTTCGGGTTTCATCATGCAGCAAAGCAAAGCATTAATCCTATCTCATCATTGTGCATGGAAGCCAAAACACGCAAACCCACCGAGCTCCACCGTTGTCTTGATATCCTCCTCCACTTGCACGCCGATGCTTCGCTTGCTGTCCCCGTTCCACACGGCGCAGAGCGACTCCAAGCTTCCGTGTCGCTGCTCTTCCTCTGCGCGGCCCGCGGCCACAGGCTCGGCTCGATATCTGCTCTCAAACAATTTGATCAACTCCACCGACGCCGCCTTGACCAGAGCCCCCAGCACCGTCTCCACCTGCGCCTGGATGTTCACGACGTCCGCAGACATTTTGGCCCCAGTGGCTTCACAGAAGTCAAGAGTTTATCCCCGAAAAGCCCGTCCTAGGCGGAAGTCACCATTTAGCATGTATTTACCAACCACAGTCTGACCACATGGCCTTCTCCAAAGGCAAGAGGCGTGTTTTGGGTTGAGCGCATGCGCATCAAAACTAGAGAGCAACTGACAGGGACGGAGCAAAGATATCTAGAGCCCCCGGCTGAAAGTCTGCAACACACACACACACACACACACACACACACACACACACACACACATATATATATATATAT